ATATAAACAGATGTGAATGTGATTGAATATTTTATGACTGCAGAGATCATTAAGGTTGGTAGTTGTGATTGTATAATATTATCTTTGTGCAAGATACAAACAATTAAGTGAACATTTTGTGTTATATTTACTATCTGCTTGTTTATTGGTATTTGTGTTCATTTGCTCCTTCATCCAAAATAGCGTGTAGGCTATGGTTGGTATGGTTTGCTGTACTTCATTTCTGGATAGATTGGAAACATTCTAGTGTTGTGATTAAAACTTGACTAGGTGTATAAATCTTTTATGATACAGCTTTTTAAAAGACAAAACCTTTTCATCACAGCAGGATCCTCTTGCAGTATGCTATATTTGTAGAAATGTTATTTATTCCAAGAGATACCAGTTCCTTGAAGCAGTAGTTGTCAAGGAGTGCTGAGCAGGTCCTCAAGACAGCAGCCACCAACTATTGTTGAACCCATTGGGTTCAGGGTTCAGGATGTGATGAGGAAAAATGTGGCATCAGCCTAGCTGGTAAATGCAATTTATTATGAAAAAGCTTCATCTGCTTCTTTCAGATGAACAGATCAAGTTAAAAAACATCGAGCCTTTTGCTCTAGATGTTTGTGTGGCCTGTCCTCTTGACTGTCAGTCACTATTTTACCTGCTATAATTGTTTGTCTAATTTGATAACTTTATTTGGAGTTCAAGTAATAGATGAACTTTGCTTTACTATGCAGAATTCAACCCCTTATTTTGGTGTTTGTCTCAGGGTACGTCCTCTGTAACAGCAGCTGCTACACTTTCTACAGTAACATCTGGGGATCTAGATCTATTCACCGAGCAAACTACAAAATCAGACGAAGTGGCAAAGAAACAACTCTCCAAAGACTCCATCTTATCTCTGTATGGTACAGGAACCATTCAACAGCAAAGCACTCCGGGTAATTAATTTTGAAATCTGTTTTCAATGAGTTGTGATGACATTACTGGAAGTACATCCTTTGTAATTGTAATAACATTAATTATATTTCTTCCCTATTTTTCTGTGTAGTGGGTGCTTTTGTTGTTGCAGTTTACACAACTATGAAACTGACATGAACAAAGCATTAGAATTAAAAAATTAAGATACATGTACAGGATTCACAAAACTTTATTCATTTATAATCAACAAGCTGTTCACATACCACTTAATATTGTTTCACAAGCTTATAGGACATGGATTATCTTTGAAGAATTATTGAAATTGTATTTGCATGGAGTTTATGACTTTGTATACGGTATATTTTCTTTGTACATAAACAATAAGCAGTCTGAATTGTTACATGGTACCAAAAAAGTTGACATTTTGTAATTAGAATGACATACTAGCATACAATTTATCGTTTACAATTTAATGTGTCAGATCATTTCTTCTAGAATAAGGAACTGTATTTCACATATGAGCTAAAATTATATGATAACTCAGCTACTTTGATTAAAGACGGATAGTCAACTCTCACTTGCCTGTTTGGTATTGGGAAACCAATGGTACACATCAATAGAAGCCGCATTCGTGTCTCATCTCATGCTATGTAGTTTGGTCTTTACAATAGAAGATATTTTATGTGGCTGTTGCACAAGATTTACATTTCTTGATTAAATTTACTCTTGTTAATAACTGATTTGTCTGCATTCTGGAAATTACTAGGCCCGAAGGTTGAAGCGTGCTGATCTGAGCTGTGAGAGCAGACCGAAATAAAAGTTTTTGCTATGGGTGGCTCAGAAAGACAGTACTCGTTTTTCTGCGACTGTAGTGGAGTTCGGCTATAAGCTATCGCCCTGTTCTCTTCATTCATTTTCTTCTCATGGTTCTTGTGATGCAGGTGTGTTTATGGGACCCACAAATATACCATTTACCTCACAAGCACCGACTGCATTTCAAGGTTTCCCATCAATGGGTGTACCTGTGCCTGCAGCTCCTGGCCTTATAGGAAATGTGATGGGACAGAGTACAAGCATGATGGTAGGCATGCCCATGCCCAATGGGTTTATGGGAAATGCACAGACTGGTGTGATGCCACTTCCTCAGAATGTTGTTGGCCCACAAGGAGGAATGGTGGGACAAATGGGCGTACCTCAGAGTAAGTTTGGCCTGCCACAAGCACAACAGCCCCAGTGGAGCCTCTCACAGGTAGGGGTCACTTACTTTCCAACTTCTCCCCAATCAAAGAAACCAGATTTAGTTTCCAAATGGTTTTATTTGTTTTTAATTCTAATGATGTGGCAGAAAGAATTCAGTAGGAATAATGTTGTGTAAGATCAAAGGTGTTTATAGATGTTTGGAAGTTGTATTGAGTAGGAGGTTGTGTTGAATAGACAAGTGATTTGTCATTATCCCTATTTTTAAAAGTATTCTGTAAAGAGATGTTAAGCATTTTTCATTTCAGATTATAAGACAACTGTCATGGTGAGTATCCCTGTTTGTCAATAGCTAGAAATTATCTTGGGTATCATGAGAGACAGCCTTTCTGCCACCAAGCTTTTTTGATAACTTTCATGAATTAGAAAAAAAGATCCGGCCTCATATTCTCAAAGCACTATTAGGGATCTAGACTCTCCTCCAGGTCACATGGTTACTTCCCCTAGATTCATAAAAATTCTTTTGTCCAGAAATCTTTGTAAAGTTGCATTTTTTTCCCTACATATCCTCTAATGACTCTTCTGTTTTAGAGTATCCACTAGCTCAAGAATCCCCATAAGGCATGAACAAGTCCACACTTGTGTCATTCCTTTACATGATCTAACTTAGATCAAGAGACAATATTTCTGTTTTAGGTACTCTGTTCTGACTTTTTGCTAGCCAGGTCCAGTCTTCTTCCTTTTACATTTCCTATTTGGTGTTCTCCAGATTTTGGTTATCTTGGTTTCTTTTTGGTCAGTTCTTTTTCCTTGAGAACATTCATGCAATAGTCTAGAATGATTTTTGACTAATGTTAGCAAAATCACTGTGTGTCCCAAGAATGCTCTAAGTTATTTTTGCTGTCACCATTTACAGGAATATATCTAAGACATTGGTCTCTATCTTTTTGAAGCTCTCACAAATTGCCAGATGTCAATCACAGTTTTTATGTGGCCAGAATGCTGAGGCATACAGCCAGCTCAAGTTAAGGTGCTAGAAGCTGACTTTGGCTGTTACCTCCAGCTAGTGCAAAGGGGTGATGCTGTTCTCCAGCATTCTGTTAGTAGAATCTATTAGCCAGGGATAGGTGGTTAAAATAGCCTTTAGTGGGTATGATGATGTGGTCTTTCCCTTCAGATACTTACGATGCCTGAGCAGTGATGTGGTTCATCTTAATGTCTTCAAATAATTGCAAATAAGTGTACCTTGTTAAGAACACACTCTAACCCTGAGCACAGGGGTCGAACCCACTCTGTTCTTTACAGTAAATCTTGCATTTCCTTCTCTTTTCACCAATTTTGGCAGTAAGAGTTCCACAGAGTGAAGATGCTTATATATATTTGACTCTGGTGTGAAAGAAAAATACATGTAATCTCATATGAAACTTAATTTTAGATATTTATGTTGTCAGATCAACAAAAGAAAAAGTACATTTTATGACCACTTTTTTGGGGGGCCGGGGCTGGGTTTGAACCCCCATCTCCTGCATGTGGGGCTAGGGCCCTACCCTTTTGAGCCATAGGCACCTCCCATGACCACTTTTTAATATTGAGAAAGTATATAGAGCCATTTAGGATTTTAATAGAGAATATTAACTATCATATAAACTTTATAGGATAATTTTAGACTATTTTACTTTGTAAAATTTTCTGAGTCCTTAGTATAAAGCACAGTATCCTAGCATAGTTGAAAGAGTAGTAGATTCATTTTATACTCTATACCCAGACACAAATTCAAAGATTGCTTTGGTGTATTTTTTCAGTTGTGGTTAATCTTTAGGGATAAGAAATTGAACCTAGAAAGTGAATAAATACAGAGTATCCATATGGTTTGTGTGCAATTTAAAATAGTTGTCTATTTTAATTTAACAACTGATAGACTATTTTAAGTCGCACACGAACTTTATGGCCACCCTGTATAGTATGATTGAGATCACAGTATAGGCAGTGCTAAAAAGTAGAAGAAAATAAAGGACAAGAGGGGAACAAATTAGCTATTTGCTTTCTATTAAAAAAAAATATTTGGATGGTAGTCTGCTTTTACTCCAGTGCTCTGCCTGATTTTCATATTATTAGAAGAAATGTCCAACTATGGTTAAAGAAAGAATAATTAAAATTAAAATAAGCCCCTTAAACTAAGCCTTTCCTGTGTTTCACAGATGAATCAGCAAATGGCCGGCATGAATATCAGTAGTGCAAACCCTGCAGCAGGCTTTGGCCAGCCGCCCACCACCACAGCAGGATGGTCTGGAAGCTCATCGGGTCAGACTCTGAGCACACAACTGTGGAAATGAAAACTGAGACACAAGTTTCATCCAGAACTACCACCTGACATTCCTTGCTAAAACGCATCTAGTTCCCCTGTTTATTCATGTACATACATATTTTTTCTTTTTACCCATTTGTTCATATTACGAATTATCTGATTGACCGTGTTGGTCTGTACTGATTAAATTTGATGTGGTGAAAGCAGGTTGATAAACCATTTGATGTCAAAGGCAGCTTTGCTCATATTTCCCATGATTTCATAAATGACCATTATTTGAGAAGCTGCTCAGTCAACTTGCGTAATTAGTTTTACTCAATAAAATTATAGCTCTAATGTTTGCATATAAGGGAAGTAGTTATCATGTTAGTAATACCTCTAACAGTATAAACCCCACCCCCAAATTAGCCAGTAATCCTGTAGGAAGGTACTGTATGATCAAATGTTTAATCATATAAATAGAATGTAAATGTATCACTGAGCACTGTTTTCTAGTGTATCAAAATTCTTTTATTTCATCATTCACTTCACTGTGCTGTTGTTATGATGTGATTAACAGGGAACGTGGTTAGTGAAAGGAAGATAAACCTGGATGTTACTACGAAACTTAGTTTAATGAGTGTTTGAGTACTTCAAATTTTATCTGCCTCTCATAATTTGGATCTCCTCTTATGTACATAGTGCTAATGTGAAGACCTTTTTCTGCACTATATGCACACAGGGTAACTAAAACAAAGCCACTTTGAATCCTTGAAGGTATATCCAGGTTTATGACAGTAATTGTGTTTACATTTTATGGTGCCTAGTATTGACAAAATATTATTTCCCTATATTAAACAGATGAATCCATAGACCTTTCAATTGTGGGGTTTTTATTTCCTGTGATGTATACTGCCACCAACCTTCCAAAAAGTTATTTAATGTTGCCAAGTAGGAATTGACACTGTTCAACTGATGAAATGCCTGTCATCTGTTTCTAAAACCTGTTCAGTTCTACCAGTTGTAAGGCTAACTGGGGGCAGGGCAAGCATGTACGATACTCAGAATGGTATTTTGCAGTATCACAGAACTGTACTGTACAGAAATTTTCCAATTTAGTGGTAGGGAGGACATGCACAGCAAAGGAGGACCACCCGTGCATTTGCACATCCAGTTGGCTTCTGTCAGCTGACAAGCACTGGTTAAACAGATGTCCGTCAGCTGGCGTGAAAGGCTGCGGGACTGAAGTAAAATGAACAATACCTGAATGCTCTGCAGCCTCAACTCCACACGGCCTTGTCCACGCCCACTGCCAGGCAGACTGCACCAGGTGTCGCCTCCATTTTATACCTCGATTTTCACGGTGTCCAGGTGGTACTTGGGCTCATTGGCTAGATTAACCTTCTCTGTCCGTGTGTGCCACACGAGCACCTGCAAGACAGGGAGATGGCTTGAGTAGGGCGCTCCCAGGCTGACACTTGAGGTCGGGCAGCACAGAGGAGCGCAGTACCTTGGTGCAGTTACTTGCTTTAGGTTCCAGTTCTTCTACGGTCGTTATCTGTTTTAGAAAGTCAGATTCTTGCATCCCTGGCTGGGATCCACGACGTTTAAATACAGCTTTTGGGTTGGACAGGATGACTTGAAGACTTACAGCAAATCCTTTGTGAAAAGTTAAAAAAAAAAATGACTTTTAAAGTAAAATATTGGTATACTTCTCTTTTTTCTAAATTTGTAAATTTGGTCACATCAAAAACAATTTTTTAAATACAGATTTAAATATGAACATTACCTGTATTACATTCTCAAAAGGAAAATCAGTCATCACTATATTGTGCATTCAGTGCACAGGGGTGCACATATGCAAACTATGACGTCTAGGCTGTTGATAATAAAGGGTGAATTTTATAAGCTGCTATTTCACAGAGAACATCACATCCTCACATTTGACCCTTTAGGAATAGACAAAAACTAAGTGCAGCTGAAAACGTGCAGACTCCGCCTAACTATCCTTATAAGGAGGGTGGGCCTGCCTGCCCTTTGGCATCACTAGTCATGCTTAGCAAAATCAGCACTGCTCTGATTCACTTTGCACTTAGAAGATTGAATAAAAGAAGTAAAGCCAATTAGATAGAAAATGAATAATATGCATTTATAATCATTTGGGTTAAATTTCTAGTTTGGCTCAATCTGAAAAGGGTGGGGACTTGGGCAGTGCAGAAGATACCAGGCCGTGTGATAAATTTGTTCTTTTGTATTTCATTTACCAAAAAAAAAAAAAAGGTGTGAACTTCCTTCAGTGGTTTGGTCATATGGTAAAATCATTACTGTTTAAACTGTAATTAACAAACTCTGTGTTTAAGGCTCAGCCATTAAAGCATTCTAGAAGTAATTGTTTTGCCATCTCAGCAAGTAATTATTTTGAAGGTTTGAAGCCCTGGATCTTTTTGCTCTTAATGACAAAGGTGACACTGTAAAGTTAGGCATCCTCCCAGAGTTGAAGCTCTGAAGACTAATCCCGGGAACACTTCATTTGCCCTTCTCCATATTAAATGATTTCTGCTGCTGCTTGCAAAAGACAGTTGGCAAAATCAAATGATACCAGGCAGTAATTGAGGAGTGATAAGAACACCACAACCACCATTCTCATAACCTCTCCAGATGCCAGACTGGGCCCATCTTCTGTTCTAGACCCTACTACCTTTTTGGGAAAACTGAACACTAAGCCACTTACAAACACAAGTTGGTACATTAGGTCCTGAGTGAAGCAGAAAAAGGATCATAAAGCATAAGCCTTGGGACTAATCCCAGTCCCCTCCACCAGTCCTAGAGGGAGGCAGCACACTGGCAGAAAGAATGCAGAATTTGGAATTATTAGGAGCTTTTTGTTTTGCCGAGGTCCCCTGCACTGGCTAAGTCCCTAACTTTTCTTGACTGCAACTTTCCCATTTCCAGACCTACAAGAGAAGTGTGGCACCTTCTTGACTCAACGTTTGAAGGAAAATTAATTTTGGAAGGACTTAACTGACTGCAAAGCACTATTATGATAACACAATATATAAACAAAAGTGCCATTATAAATATTATGGGGGACAGGCAGTATTAGCCACCATGTATGGCTGGAGAATGAATGCTGGTTGACAGGTAAAGGGCTACGAAAGTTCTGGGTAGCAGAGCCAGGCCACCTCCATGTCACACCATCATGGAAACAAGTCTGAAGCCTTTATCAAGCAAAAAACTAGGCCAGCCAGAGGACTCCTCAACGAAAAGCCAGAGGTCCAAATTAATATACAAACTGCCTTTTCTAATAAGCCAAATGTTAAAAAGAGTTCTTGTTTTTTTTCACGTGCTTATAAATAAGCTTCATCCTTTTTTATCTAGATGAGGGTGTGCCCTTCTCAGTCACACTGATGCTCCTGGCAGATCTTTCACGTGGCTCCAAGGTGTTCACTGTAGTTCTCCATTCTCTCAAAAACAGGATCCAAATTGTGCAGAAGTAATTCTGAAAATGATATGAAGCCACTTTGATCTGATTTTCTTCACTTTCCCCCAAGACTTTAACATCAACCACTGCAAGATTCACATTTAGAGTATTTTGTTTTCCTCGGCTCAGGAGTTGCCTAGCTGCTAACGCAGTTAGATGGCAGAATACACAGTTCACAGCCATTCATAAAGCTAAACATTCTGCCGCAAGGGCCCCTTTCCTGGCCTCACTGGAGAATGGGGTGCACCTGGAAGGCCAGGACCCTGCAGATATGTAGTGTGGCACACCATGGTGGCAAAGTGGTTTCCTGTTTTCTTTTCTTTCTTTTTTTTTTTGAGACAGAGCCTCAAGCTGTCCCCCTGGGTAGAGTGCCATGGCATCACAGCTCACAGCAACCTCCAACTCCTGGGCTCAAGCGAGTCTCCTGCCTCCGCCTCCCACAGGCGCCCGCCACAACGCCCGGCTATTTTTTGGTTGCAGCCGTCATTGCTGTTTGGTGGGTCCGGGCTGGGGATTCGAACCCGCCACCTTAGGTGTACGTGGCTGGTGCCTTAGCCAGTTGAGCCACAGGCGCCGAGCCCTGTTTTCTAATATAAAGGTGGGGAGAGCACAATTCAGTTGCACCTTAACCAGTTACCTTGATTTCCTTTGCCCAGGGCCTGCTGACAGCCATTAGGCAAGGACTGCCCATTAACTGGGCCAAGCCCTGGGGTTTTTTTTAGGAAGCATCTGACCTGCTGTGAAGCTGGAGAGAGTTAAAAGAGTTCTCCTCTAAAACCATGGCAAAGACATTTTAGCTCTTGAAGCAATGATTTCCAACCTCAGGTGGATATCTTGAGTTTTTTCAAGTATCTATACTTCAAGTATTACATCTTTCTTCCCTTTTTTAGTGAGATTAGCTTATCTTTCAAGATGTTGCAGTAGCTTTTGAGATATTAAAATAATGGGAGGAGGATTTTCTGCCCTGGTCAGTTTTGTAAAAAAATGCTTTTGAAAAGTGGTTGTTCACTGTGAAGGCAGAGATTTCCTGACTTCTTCAAATGGAGGTGGGGGGACATACAGTTGCCCTCCATCTCTGCAGGTTCTACATCTGTGCATTCAACTAACCACAGGTCGAAAATAATTTGAAAATAAACAATGAAAAATAACAATGCAGAATAAAAATACAAATCTAAGAGCTATATAGTAAATCAGCTATTCACATAACATTTACATTGTATTGGGTATTATAGGCCATCAAGAGATGATTTAAAACATAAAGGAAGAAACATGTTTTTGTATATAAATATGCCATTTCATTCTGGGGACGTAAGTGTCCATGGATTTGGTATCTATAGGAGTCCTGCAACCATCTCCCCCTCAACCCAGATTACTGAGGGACAGTTACTTCCTCCTAGCCAGAAGGATAAGGCCTACCTCAATATACGCCTACTGGCGTTATTAATGGAGTGTGCAATTTGTAAGCCATCCCAAGGCCAACAAGCCTTTTCCACTTCTGGACAAGACGGAGCCAACAGGTGCTGTTTTTTTCCCCTACTGTTTCAAATAACTAAAAACCAAAATTTTTGAAAAAAGTTTCCAAACATTGGGGAAGGTGTGCAGGGCAGAAGTCTCCGAGGAAAAGAAATGTGATCCCTACAACTGCCCCAGCTTCCTCCCTGAAGTGTGTTTTTAGGCTATACCATATGAAGGAGAACCCAGAAAGCTCTGCAATCTCCTCAAGCTGAAGCAATTGAGAATTTGGGGAGGCCAAAACGATTAGAATTTGCGGTGTAGGATACTGGAAAGCGCTTTCCTCAAGTCTTCAGCTGAGTGTGATGAGCAAATGCACAAAAGTACCGAGGCCACGTAAAGACCCACTAGAAAGCAGCAGGTGAATCCGTTCCTGGCTCTCACTTCCGCGATAGAAGTAGCGCTACCTAGTAAGACCTGAGGTACCTGGAGAGCACTTGGAAAGTTACTGTGTCCAATGTGGGGTCAAATTCGCCGGGACCTAAATGCTGAGCTGGTTCAAACTTTAAAAGCAACCCTGGAAAGGATCAAATTGTTCCCAAGTTAACTGAGTCGTGTCCCAGTACAAAGCTCAAAAGCTCACAAATATCTACATATATATTTATGGTGTGTGTGTGTGTATTTCATCTATTACCTAGAAACATAAAATTTCCAAATGTCTGAGACACAAAATATACAGAGTAGAAAAATATCCCATCATGAAGAAAAAATTCAGTCAACAGAAACAAATCCAGACATGACACAGATGAGAAAATTACAGAACAGGGACATTAATGTGTACTATACATTGTACACATGTTCCATATGTTCCAAAACGTAGAGGAAAGACTCAGCATTGTTAAGGAAAGATAAGGAAGACCCAAAGTTATCTCAGCAATGAAAAGTGCAATGTCTGAGATGAAAAGTATTAATACGCTGGTGGGACAAACAGCAGATAAGACATTGAAGAATAAAAGACTGGTTAATTTGAACACAATAATAAAATTACCAAATTAAACACAAAAAAGAGCCAACACACACGCACACACACACACACGCTGAATCACAACATGAAAGGTGAGAGAAAAAAATATATGAAGAAACAATGAAAAATTTATCAACTTGAAAAAGCAAATATATATAATGCTTAAATAATACTATCAGCCAATTAGGCCTAAATATAATGCTTAAATAATACTGTAAGCCAATCAGGCCTAAATGACGCAGAACACCTCACCCAACAATAGCAGAATATAGGCTGTCCCCAAGTTATGAACAAGGTTCGGTAGGTTTGCTCTTAGGTTGAATTTGTACCTTAGAACAGGTACTTGAAATAGCCTCTGTTCATAAGTGTGAGTCACGTGTCCATTGGATGTTTGTAACTCAAGGACTGAATGTACACAATCTTTTCACGTTCAAACAGAACATTATCAAGGTAGAACATAGTCTAGGCCATAAATCAATTCCCAATACATTTAAAAGAATTCAAGTTGCATGAAGTGTTGTTCTTTGACCGAGGAAGAATTGAAATAGAAGTTGGTAATATAAAGATATCTGGAAAATTCCCCAAATATTTGGAAACTAAACAACATAACTGTAGATCTGTAGATAAAATAGAGATCAAAGAGATCAAATGGGAAATGAGAAAGTGATCAACAGAATGAAAACAAAAACAATCAAAATTTGA